TTAAGTATTAGGGAAATTTTGATAAGGTTAAAAGTACAAGTGTGTTAGTTTGTGAATAATACACAAATTATTATCTGACTCAGCAAGTCACTCATGTCATTGATGAATGATACTAATCCTAACATATGTCTTTGTTATTAATGTAAAAATATCAACCAACATTCCTGTTGGAACTTCAGTAGCATGAGCGACTTCTTTGCTGAATTGAATATTAATTAAATATTTACTTGTATTTTGTCTTTGTCAAACATGATTAAATTTTATCCATAGGTTACCTGTGGATACAAAAGTTAGGCTAAAATTACTGACACCATACTGTGAATTCAGTTGGCCACACAGAAGTTATTATTAAAGAGTGTTGTGTGTTGTATTATGGCATGTTTTGAAAATTGTGTGCTATACATACTTTGTATCAGTACAATTTATAGTAAACATATTCCTTTCCCTCCAGGCAATTGCTAAACATTTACCTGCACACTAATGGACATGATTTAATTTACTCATTTGAAAAGGTCATTCTGTGTTGTGGAGTATGGGTTGTAGGGGGTAAGGGGGGAAGCAAAGAGCAGTGAGGAGGCGGGCATGTTTGTCCAGGGAAAGATAAGAGATGTGACATGGGGCAATGGCAATAGAAGTGGAATGGGTGAGATGCTCTGGCTGGACAGGAGAGGCATTTTGGAGGTGAAAAGAAGGCAAATCAGTCATCTAGCAGCTCTAGGGAAGAGATAGACTTTCAGGAATGTCCTGTGCTAAGGGAGGACTGCCTGGTGAATTTCAAGAAGGTTCAGTGGTTGAATGGGGTAGAAAAGAAGTCAGGGGAGGTATAAATACAGGTAGTTATAGGGTTTGCAAATACCTTGAAGCACATGGAAAAAGTTAGGGTTGGTTCTTAGTGGAATGTCTAGTTCCCTTAAAGTGCCAGTGGAAATACCAATGATATGCCATAAATGGGACTCATATATTTGAAAATTATTTTACTCATCTAGAAACTATTAATTTTTGTCTACATAGAGGAATTATTTGTTCATCTCAATGGCTTCATTATTCCTAGTATGAGATTTTTTCCCCCAGGACCGGCCCATTTTAATTGTACAGCTCCCACTTTATTAGCCTGTGTTACACAGATAGTGCCGCCTCTTTTTATACCTCTTATGACCTCATTCCAAGTTTTTCTTTGCTATGCTATAAAAGAGGACCTTACCACAGGCCACCCTATTGTATTGCCTGGCAGCTATCAGCAAATTTCTGGCCATCATTACTTTCCCTGCCTCCTCTATTATACCCTAAAAACTACACTCCACATTAGAGCTTATTTGTTTTGGTTTTAATATTTTGCAAGAGAATTTACTAAATTTTATAGAATTTTAAATATAGAAAATGTTTTGCAAAAGAAACCATCTTCCCCCATTCATCCACCCTATCAACCCTAACGAATAAAGGAAAAATTCTTAACTATACAGCCACCAAGGATTAACACTTTGAAGTTTCAGTTTGGATGTAACAGTTTGGTTCACTTTGGTCTTCTGATAATTAGATATTTTATGGATAGTTTCAGTGAACCATGGAATATTTAGTAATGGAAGGAACTGGTTATGAGTCAGTGGTTGAGTGCTTGCCTAGCATGTACAAGGTCTTGAATTCAATCCCCAGCACCTCAAAAAATAAAAAAGAAGAAAAGAACTTTCATAACCAATTTTTCTCATTCATTCATTCATTCATTCAACAAAATATAATTTCTTCCACGATATAGCAATTATTACTTGGTAAACCCAGTGTAAGGCTATAGGGTTTTTAAAGTGATTATTATGTGTAAGTTAAATATGTTCAATTGTTATGTATCAGTTAAAAACAAAGTTTTAAAATGTAAATAAATATTTATCAAATTAAAGACCTTTTATAATACAACCTTTACCCTGGAGGAAATGGAAACAGAAGAACAAGTCAGTATCAAATAATGCAGACATAAGTGATAGATACATCAGGCACTACATGTGAACTGGAAAGACATCTTGAGTGTTTAGGGATAGGGGAGGTGGTTGTGGTAATGGTCAGGAGGGTTGCCTGGAAGTATATATGACTGATGTGAATTATGAAGGTTCTCCTTCAAGTTATCTTGCTATTTCTCATGTAGGAACACGCATAAAGGAAGCTTATCATTAGTATTCTATTAAGAATTATTTTTTCTTTTTGGTGCATTTAAAAGATACACAAATGTTAAATCAAAAAGAAAACTCACTGTTTCACTCAAAATTCCAGGGGAAGTTTAATTTTAGGTATGGCTAGGTCCAGGAACTCAGGCTATGTCAGAAGGACTTGAATTCTGTCTTTTATCTTTATTTTTCTGTTTTGGTTTTATTCTTGGGAAGACTATCTCCACTTTTGGCAGTTAATCTAAATTGTCAACCTGACTGAATTAAGAGAATCCTGGAAAAGTGAGTGGACCATGGTGGGAATTAATCCATTGATGTTACGGCTGAATGTCCCATTAGGCGGTGGAGCCCAGTTGGATATGGGTCACTGGGGCTGTGCCTTTGGAGGGTGTATCTCTCTGGCACTCTTCTGCTGTGTTCTGCTTCCCACCTGCCATGAAGTAGTAAGGAACTTTGTTCCTCCATGTCCTTCTGTCATGATGTTCTTTCCTGGAGCCAGCCAGCCATGGACTGAAACCTCTGCAACTTTGAGCCAAAAATAAACCTTTCCTCTTATTTAAGATGCAGGTGTCATGAAGTTTGTTCAGTGGTGAGAAAGCTGACTAATATATATCTGCTAGACTGTAGCAACTGGATTTAAAACTCCCTATCAGTTTGGTAACTTCAGTGGAGAGAGAGTTCTTTTTCAATAATCTTAGTTGTTTCTGGAAGAGGCTTCATTGTCTAGTTGGGCCACATACTCATCCCTGAACCATTAACCATGACCAAGAGACATAAAGGATGTATACTCCAATTGGCAAAAAACTAGGTCAGGTGTCCACTGATGCCTAAGAGTGGGGCAGAGAGTGGAAGAGAGAGGGGGGATGAGGGAGACAAGAGAAGGCGGCGGTGGTGAGGGGGAAAGAAGAGAGAGAGAGGAAATAATTGGAAATAATTTAAATTAAAATAGGAAAATGTTGTGCATACAGAAAACAACAGATGTCCACTACAATAGCTATTTTTTAAAATGTTAACAGTGACATAAACATCGTATTTTATATTTTAAGTGAATTAATCTTAACCTTAATGTTTGTCAACAATGGAAAGAACCCTGGAAATTAAGTACAAGTCCTATTGGCTTTGCTTTCCAATTTTAATAGAAATTGAACGTGGATTTATACTTTGAAATTTCTAACAGTACACAAATGAATTTAGCGTTGCTTTATAGAATTAGTATCTCTACTTAAGTGGGTTCTTTTCAGGTATTATATTGATGTTTACGAATTTTCAGCAATTTTATTTCAGAGAAACAAAATGTCTTTTGTATGATTCCAACGAATATGATGGTGTATAGGTAGCTGCTGTGATCCTCTGCTGGCTTATTTTGCTCTTTCTGTCTTGACAAGCTGAATGTCATGCAAATGTCTCCAGCCTTGACACTGGGCAGGCAGGAAGCCAGAACCAGTAATAGAAGCAGGAGGCAGTCTATGAATACTTGCTGATTAATTTTAGCTCCATAGGCCTGATGGGTTTTCCATCCCTATAATTACCATGAGCAAATAGTTATTGAATGATGTCCAGCATATTTTTATTCCCCTTTCTTTGGTCCTGATTTTCCTTTTCTATTTTACCTCTCTGTAATTTCATCACATGTGTTTCTGTTCTTCAGACCAACAGAGCCTCCTGTGATTAGTTTCTGATACTAAATTTCATTGCTCCTATAGGATTATCTATCTATCTATCTATCTATCTATCTATCTATCTATCTATCTATCTATCCATCCATCTATCCATCCATCCATCCATCTGTCCCTCTTCTGGGAATAAATGATAGGAAAAAACCCAGAAATAAAATAGGCTATTGAATGACTATTCTTTGCTTGATGCTGTATTAATACATCCCATGTTTGTTTTACAAATTAATCTTTTGCATTGGAAATCATTCTTAATAAGGCTACAAGTCCTTACTGAGCTCAATCTGTATAGAAAATGGAGCACTTGCTAGTGAGGGATGAGGCTATGATTTATAGATGTGATAAGAAGGAGAAGATTTTGTAGAAGGGAGATTGGGAACATCCAAGAAAAATAATTAAATTGTATGGATAGAATTCAAAGGATGAAGTATAACTTTAAATATTGCTTTTGTCTTTTAAAAAAATCTTAAAAGTAATAGGTTCTAGAAAGCAATACATGCTTATTATAAAAACCTAAACACACAGAACACAGAGATGTATAAAGTAAAAATAAAAAAATTTTTACTGCCCCCCCATTCCATTTTGCAGATGTAACTTTTTGTTTGTTTTGTTTTTGAGATAAGATCCTGCTACGTATCTCAGACTGGCTTTGAACTCACTATGTAGCCCAGGCTGGCCTCCAACTAGTGGTACTCCTGCCTCAGCCTCTAGAATGCTGGGATTACAGGCCTGTGCCACCACCTGGGCTATAAATTTTTTTTGGTTTTTTTTTTGGTAACGGGAATCGAACTCAGGTCCTTAGGGTTGCGCAGCAGGCAGTGAAACCACTGAGCTAAAGGTCTATAACTATTTTTAAGAGTTGGTATGTATACTTCCAGAAACCTTTTTTCTATGCACCTGTACATCCATGCATACCCTTACTGTTATGGTTTGGATCTAGAATGTCCCCATGAACCATCATATGCTCAGAGGTGGGGCTTTTGGAAGGTGATTGGATCACATAGGCACTATACAAATCAATGGATTCATCCGCTAATGAATCCAAAGTTGAATGTGCTGTTAGGAGTCTGATGAGTAGAGGCAAGTCCGTGGGAATGTGACCTGGAACGTCGCCGTGGCTCCTCCCTTTACTCTCTGCTTCCTGGCCTCGGTGATGTGTGTCGTTTTCCTCCTACAGGCTCTTCCACCATGGCCTTCCAGGCTGGAGCCAGCTGGCCAGGAGAAGACTGAGACCTCTGAAACTGTGAGCAAAATAAACCTCTACTCCTTTAAATTGTGGGTGCTGGGTATTTTGTTCCAGCAAGGAGATGGTAACTAAGACACATACAGTATATTTTTTAAACAAAAATGAAGTTTTACTACATCTATTTTCAAACTTTATGAAACATTTTTGGACTTTTCATGTCAATATTTTCAGGTAGTAACAGTATGATTTATTTACCCTCTCCTTTATTGATTATTTTAGTCTCCAATTTTTCACTATTGTAAGCCAAGCTACAATTAATACACTTGTGTCTATATCTTTGCATCATTGTGCAAGTATTTCTATAGCATAGAATTTCTCAGGCAAATGTGATTCATAACATTAACTATTAACATTCACCATTAAGTAGCTAATTGAGCCACATTAGCAGGCTTATTTAAAAATGCTTATCCAAAAATGCTTATCCAGGGGCTGGGGATTTAGCTTAGTGGCACCGAACCTGCCTCATAAGCACAAGGTCCTGAGTTCGATCCCCAGTGCCAAAATATATAAATAAAAATAAAAATGTTTATCCAGCTTGGAATGGTAGCACACACCTGTAATCCCAGCACTGGGGAGGCTGAGGCAGGAGGATTTAAAATTAGAGGCCAGCCTGAGCTGTATAGCAAGCTCAAGGCAAACCTGGACTACAGAGTGAGACTGTCTTGCATAATAAAAACAATCAAACAAAACAGCATCAAGAAAATTCTTGCCCATTACTAGCTCATTTTGTTATTTTATCTTCCTTTGGGCATTGTAGAAAACTTCAGGTTGAGCAGGAGTCCTAGCTGACTGAAGAACAGGCCACTACCTGAAGATGTCTTGTATCTTGCTTTATTGAATCCATCTTATGTTCAATGTATTGTAAGTTCAAGTGAATTTGGTTTCCATATAAACTGGGAAAAGTCAGCAGCAAGGAATCATTGAGGGATACCATAATGCTTCTGTTGACCAGCATCTATCCTAAAAGGGTACCTAATATTCCCTGTGTCATGGCCACATGATGGGTATGCATTGTTTTGTCTGCCAAGCATCCACCCTCCACATATGGTACCAGGACCTGAAATAGCCTCTGGAGAATATCCTTTTCCTAAACATCAGTTCATGTGTTTGTGGTGCTGTTAGCCCAGTGCCTCACTCTGTGGATGGGCCAGGCCTGATTTATCTAAGCATTAGTATAGAGAGAGGTGGACACATGGCAGGTACAAGTAAGCTTTCATTCTTGGCCTTCTGGGACTATTTAGAAATTTGACCTTTTCAACAAAACATGTGATGCAAGCTTGGAGCAGCTGGAGTCTACCACTTAGAGCCACTATTGGAGAGAGAGAGAGAGAGAGAGAGAGAGAGAGAGAGAGAGAGAGAGGGAGGGGGGGGGAACATAATCCCAATTATTTAATTTGAGTATCTAGACCCTGAGGCTAAGACTACTCCTAGACTTGACTGTTACATTCTCCAATAGATAATAGTACTCCTTTCATTCTCCCTCTGTTTCCTCTTTCTTTCCTCTTTTCTCACTTCCTCTTCCTCTTCTTTTACTTCAGCCAGTTGGAGTTCTCTAAAACTGGCATCTGAAAGGATCCTGAAACCAGAAGTAAAGATCTGAACCATGAAGGTGTGCTCCTACTGGAGGAGAGAGGGCTCTCAGATACCTCAAAAGAAAAGGAGAAGACCAAAAGAGAAGCTCACTGAATGCCAAAAAATGAACTTTACCTGCTTCACAAGCTGGGCTATAATTTCATCTTAATGATTAAGTGAAACGATCAAACTCCTTTATTTAAAATACATGTACATAAATGAGAATATCAACTATTAAATTCACTGATTCTGGTTATATCTGCTTAAAATGTCCATTTTTATTAATACAGAAATTGCTTCTCAATTTTAGGGTGCATTTTAAAAGAAGAAAAAAACCCCATAATCCTTCTAAAGAAGTGTTTTATTTTTCTTTAGAGCAATTTAGCTTATTACTCTGCTTTCCATATTGAACGAGGCTTAATTTTATTGCTTTGCTTTTAGCAGACTTGATAATATATGAACTTAAATAAGTATTGTAAATATGACATAGTTGAATTATATAACTAAAATATTTTTAATATCTCATTGGCGTTTGTGTTCTTGAAACCAAAACCTGATAGCTAAAACTAGCTCTACTAATATGAAAAATCAATCCCTTACTTGAATTAAATCCACAATCCTTATATAAATATTGTTCTTGTTTTATCTACATAAACTTTACACTTCTATCTTATCTGTGGCAGGAGGATAAAACATGATGGTTGATAAGGATATCAGTAGTTGGACTCAAGAAACATTTATATACTTATTAATATGTCCAGCTCAATTTGAAATAGACTTGAGACTTGACATCTTAATAGACATGTCTTTGGCAAGTTCCTTCTCTAAGTCTAGTTTTCTTATCTGAAAAATAAATGTAATAATAGTATTTGCCACATAAGGTTTTTATGCAGAGTAAATAAGATATTATCTGTAAAACACTCAGCACAGTCTCATGCTAAAGTAACTGTTACCACTATCCCTATAGAAAGTGAGATGGCCATGTAGGCATACTCCATACCAGAGGACACAGACTCTTCATTAGCTTCCTTTTAATCCCCTTTCCTCCCTACATCATGCACTGTGAAGTGAGGCTATTGAACACCTGCCAGGGAGTCTGTAAAAAAAATCCAGCTTTGGCTAGGCATGGTGGTGCACACCTGTAATCCTGCGCTCTGATATCACAAATTTAAGCACAAGCTGGATAATTTAGCAATTTAGCAGGACCTTGTCCCCAAATTAAAATTTTTTTTTTTTTTTAAACACTGGCTCGGGATGTAGCTCTGTGCAAACAAGTATCACAAACAAAACAATTCCCACACTATCTGGGAATTTTGTTTTTTATTTATTTTTTGCCATACTGGAGATTGAACCTAGAGCCTTAACACTCAGCTAGCATCAGCCCTTTTTAGTTTTTATTTTGAGATAAGGTCTCCCTAAGTCACTAAGTTGCCCAAGCTGGGCTTGAACATGTGGTCCTTTTGCCTCAGCCTTCCAGGGCACCGGGATTACGGCTATGCATCACCCACGCCAAGTCTAGCTAGAAATTTTAACCTTCACTGTATGATTTACCAGATTTCTCACAGCTTTGGGGTCCTTTAATTTCATAAACCACACAAGTTACATATCTCTGTGGGATTTGAAACTTATAAAGCCTAAGAGAAATGTAGATTCTTTCCCATCCAGCTGAGCATGCTCAAATGGAGACATACTTGAAAACATAGAAGTGGGTCACATGCTTTGAAACCAGCAAAATGCCATAGCCAAAAGAAATAAAAGCACAGATAAATAGAATGAATGATTTGTCTGGAGTTTCACTGACTTCCCAAGGAACCAAAATGCACACATAAGCTTTCCTAACTCCTCATCCTCGTGACACATAGTTATAGATCATCTTCAGGCTCTAGTGTTTACCTTTTATGAAGTTATTGATGCTCATGAGTCATCCACAAATTCATATCTTTACTTATATCAGTGCCATCAAAAAACTTTTAATTGCTGATCAAAGTTTGTATAACATGGTGGCCAAAACATGGGAACAGGGGATGGGGCTTTAGCTTTGTGCCCTTTCCTGTCCTGCTCCTCAGTTACTTTTCCTCTTTTCAACTATTTACCTTTCTCAGCTAAAGTCACTGAACTTTTCCTCTTCATTGTTCTCAAATCACAAAGAAGTACAGTTGTTCCTTGGTATCCACAAGGAATTGGTTCTGGGATTCCCCCTCCCTTGGGGATACCAAAACCCACAGATGCTCATGTGTCTTATATAAAATGGCATAGTATTTGTATATAACTTACACACATCTTCCTGGATACTTTAAATCATCTCTAGATTATTTACAATACCTAATTCAATGTAAATACGCAATAGTTGTTCAACTGTATTGTTTAGGGGATAATGGCAAAAATATCTGTATGTATTCAGTACAGATGCAGTTTTTACCCCAATATTTTTGATTGACAATTAGTTGAATTCACAGATGCAGGATTCCTTCCACAGATGCGGAAGACTGTCTATAATTATGTTCCTCTCATTACCTCTGGCTGAAAGCTTTTACTAGCAGCCCATATTTAATGGGTTCCTGCTGTCTGTCTGTATGTGGGACCCTGGAGATAGAGGTAAGTAAGATAGGCCCCTGTTCTGTAGGCTCTCCCAGTTACAAGGGGACAGCAACACAAATACATGATGTGATAGGTAAATATAATAATAAAAATGTGCACAGGTCGTGACAGGGGTGTGGGAGGCAGAGGAGAGGGCAGGAATCAGGGAAGGCTTCTAGCAGAGTCAGGATGAGCAGTCCTGGTGTTGGATGGGGGTAGACAGACAGAGCCTGAGGCTTCAAGGATGACAGTGATCATGCTGAAAGAGAACAGTGTAACAAAAATGGCTTAGATGAGGGCAGAACTAGAAAGAATCAAGGCTCCAATGTATCTTACTGTGTGACCTTGACCTAGTTACCCAGTTTCTTCAGCAGTTAAATAGGCGTAAGGATTAGATTCCCTCTTAAGGCTGTTGTGACTATTCCAGGTGATTATATATGCTAAGTTTAGTACATTTGGCAGTAAGGAGTAATAATAATATTATTATTACCAATTTACTTTCACCAATAACATGTTGTGATCTCTGTTCTCTTGTTCCTCTCCCTCTTCAATGGTCACAGGCATGTTTCTATCTCGCTGTCAAATATATTTTGTTTATAAGTACTTTTAACAACACATAAGCATTTGAAGCACTATGACAAAAAAGTGATATTCCATAGGAGGAACAGGAGATAATAGAGGTGCCTTTACTTATAGTGGTTTCCCTAGACAAGTCATTCTCAACTGAGGTTTGATTGACAGGAAACATTTTTGGTTGTCCCAGATGGAAGAAGGAGAATCACATGGGCAAGTAGTGAGTAATGGCCAAGGTGCTGCTAAATATGCCACCACGCACAGGGCAGACCTCCACAGCAAAAAACTGTCTAGCCCAAAGTATCAATCGTGTTGAAGTTGTGAAATCCTTCCCTAGATGTAACCCACTCACTGCTTTTTTTCAGTGATCCTCAAGGAACACAGCAAAGGCGTGTTCTAAGGATTCTAAATTCAGTTACAAAAGCATATCTTTTGGATACTTGATACATCTTAATATCTTCATTGAAAGTGCAAGTCCTCCAGAGCCCTTGGTATGGTCATTCAAACTTTTCTTGCTACCAAAATAATAAAAAAAATTTTCACTATTTTCCTCTATATGGGTAACTCAGGAAAAATATATAATTTTCAGATAATTATTTTAATGTAATTCACCAAAAAGAAATGAACGTATCCCTAGTTTGGGAGTCTTTTTATTCGAGAGTCAAGAAACTTAACAGTCTTGGCTTGTCTCCACTGCTGTAGGGGTTCAAATGGCCAGCTCCTGTAGCCTTTGGAAAGAGGGATCTTTGAACCCTCCCTAACACTTCTGCCAGGGCTGGGCCAGTGACAAGATGGCTTGGAAGGGTCTGTGTGTTTTTCTCAAATAAGAATTTTCTCCAAGTAGTTTATCTAAATTGCAATGTTAATGAGCCTCATCCTTCATTCCTTACTTTTTTTCTTCTAGAAGCAACATAGAAGTTAAGAGGTAGATTCCGGGGCAAGACTGTCTGGGTTGTGGTTCTGTCACTTGCTACCTACATGACCTTGAAAAGCTTAACCCTTGTGTGGTTCAGCTTCCTTACTTGTAAAATGAGGAAGACAATAGTACCAGCCTGAGGGTTTAGTGTGAGGATTCAGGGAGGTCTCTCTTCCCTACTTTGACCTCCCATGGTGTTTTACTTGGCATCCTTTACAGCACTGATTTTCATCTGAGCTCTCTAGCAAATCATTTTAGGAATTTACGTATGAATATCTGGGCCCCAAATCTAACCTCTTGAACTAATCTCTAAGGGCAGAGTCCAGGGATCTTTATTAGAGAGGCAGCATGGCATATTAAGAGTGTGACCAAGGAGCCAGGCTGCCTAGGCCACTTGCTAGTTGTGTGACTTTGGGCAAATTATTTAATTCTCTGTGTCCCATTGTCCAGTCCTCATTTGCAAAATGGGGATGCTACCATTTGAATGTTTGTGTGCCCCCAAAATTCATATAACCCTGAGGTTAATGTGATGATATTAAGAGACAGGGCCTTTGGGAGGTGATTGGATCATGAAGGTGGAACTTTCACAAATAGGATTGGTGCCCTTATAAAGGAGCCCGCCAAAGAGCTGCTTTGCCCCTTCCACCATGTGAAGACACAGTAAGGTGATGGCTATTCATGTGTACATCAGGAAGTAACTCTTACCAGACACTAAATTTGTCAGCATCTTGATCTTGGACTTTTCAGGCTCAGATCTGTAAGATATGAATTTTTGTTGCTTCTAAGCCGTTTAGTCTATGTTATTCTGGTATGGCAGCCTAAAAGAACTAAAACAAGAGAATACAAGAGTACTCAGCTCATGTGGTTGCTGTGAGAATGGATGAATTACCTCTTAAAACACTGTAAACACTTAATGTTAGGTGCTTCTTCTGTCTTTTTTTTCCCACTTTTTCTTACTCCCCCCCCATTTCTCTCTCTTTCTACATTACCCTTTTCTCTCCTGGTAACAAACATATATTAGCTATCTTAGGACATGGTTTTGGGGACCCAGAGATGAATTAGATGTAAATCTAGTCCTTTATGACACTGGAAATTTATGGGGAAAATAGACACATAAATAAGTATAATAAGGTCCTCTGATATATACAGGGTATGAATGAGGGAACTGTTTTCTTAGGAGAA